AAATTTTGTTTTATTCTAAACATTAAATTACATCCAATAGCACTTTTATTTTGAGGAAGTTGTGTAAGACTCCAGTTATTATTAAAGATTAAGGCATCATATTCATCTTGCATTAATTACCGTCCATTTTGGATCTTGTACGGAAAATTTATGGGAGGTTGGTTCAAGTTAAGTGAGAAGTAGGATAGGATGAAATCTAGGATGGATTATGCTAATTTAAGCTCTAGTAGTCACGGCATGAGTGTTATTAGGATGGATGTTAACAAGATAAGAAGATGGTGTAGGTGAAATATGATTAGAGCTATGAGTGTTCGAGAGGAGAGGTCTTGAGATTGGTTTTGTGAGGTTTTAGAATATGATAGTTGAACATTGAGAGTAGATGTTGAAGTTTAGGTGAGATTAGGGTTTTTGGTTGAGTTGTGGGTGTGTAAAAGAGAGGAAAGAGTGAGTTATGAGTGTTGACTTGATTAGGATAATGCAGTTTAAGGAAAAACTAATGGAATATCCATGCGTGGTGGAGACCACATAATTATCATCAATTTGTCATTGAAATAAAAATAAATTAGAAAATATCAAAAAATTATTGAAAAAATAAAAAATAAAAAAAAGACTGTAAGATAATTGTATAACTTTTTAAAAACAACTATAGTTAAAAAAAAAACTATTAAACACCTACTTTATAAAAAAAATAATTGTGAAAAAAAAAGGTTGATAAAGTTGTAATAATAAAAAAGTTTATAAAGGTTAATAAACGAGACAAATAAATATCTAAAATTAAAATTAGAAAAATAATTTTACATAAAATTTTAAAAAGAGAATAATCTAAAAGAATTAAGTTTAATATTGTATTTTAAAACTGTGAACTATGTTTTAAAATATAAAAAAATAAAAAAAACAGTAGTACAACTGATATAAATTTTATATTTATTTTTTAATTGTACGAAAAATATAAAAACCTATGCGTTCACACGGATTTTAGTATGATTACTCGTACATTTATACGATATTAGTGTATTACCCGTACACTTGCACGAGTATTGGTGTGGTACGAACGTTTTTGTTTTTCAAATATAATAAAAATGTAAATAAAAAAACAAAATTGTATTACCAAAACAGCCATTAATTTTTAAAAGAATAACATATTTTTAAAATAAATATAAAATTGTTTAACATAATAACTATAAAATAAATTGAATTAATATATTTTTTATACTTTTCTTTCTTAATTATACAAAAAATATAATAATTTGTGCGCTCACACGGTATTGGTATTACTCGTGCGTTCACACGAGTAATAGTGTAGTACGCACGCTTTTGTTTTTTAAAATATAATAAAAATATAAAAATAAAATTGTTTTATCAAAAAAGTTTATTATTTAAAAAAAATATATTTTTAAAATAAAACCAAAATTATTTTACCAAAATTATTTTACATCAATAATATATATTTCAATTTTCCATATATTATTTTTAAAAAAATATTATATCTTAAATTAAAAATAAGTTCAAAATAAAAATATGAATAACATATATAATTAAAAACAAAACATTTTTATTGTGATTGAATTAATATATTATATTTACTTTTATTTTTTTTAATTGTATAAAAATATAATAATTTGTGCGTTCGCACAGATTTTGATATAGTTATCTATGCACTCACATGATATTGGTGTATTACCCGTGCATGGTGTGGTATGCACGTTTTTATTCAAAATGTAATAAGAATGTTAATAACAAAAACAAATTTGTTTTACCAAGATAATTTATTATTTTTAAAAGAAAGACATTTTAAAAAAAAAATATTTTATCAAAATTATTTTGCATCAATAATATATATTTCAAATTTTCATATAAGATATTAAAAAATATTATATTTTAAATTAAAAATAAAATCAAAATCAAAATATTAGTATATAAATATTCATTTTGTATTGACATTAATAATAAAAATATTTGTTCCCTACTTAAAAAAATATTTGACTATTACTAAAGTTTTTTTATTCTAAAATTTATATTGATATAGGATAATTATGAAATTATTTAATCAAATTATAATTTAATTTTAAAATGAGAAAGTGAATCTAAATTTTTGATATTAATAATTATAGATTTTTACACTATTATCCAATGAAAATTTATTATTTAATTATATTATATAATTTATTTAAAAATAATAATATAATTTAACATTTAATATAATTATGATTAGTTGATAGTGTAAAATTATTTTATAGTGCGGTTGTATATCCCTTATTCTCATAATTATAAATTATTGAAAAAAAAATCAAAGTGTAATTGAATTTATTCTAAAAAAGTTTCTCACATGTCATTAAAATATGTGATTAAAGCATAAAGTATGCCAAATCTCAAATGCTACAGAGTTTTCTCTAATATAAATATTAAATATCAACACAGCACAAAAAGAAAAACACAAAGAATGAACATACTTTAGAAGTATCCTAACTTTCACAAATACAGTATACTACAAATTGAAATTCAAATGATATACGAATGTACCCTAACGAAAATTAAACATTTACTTCTAAACTACAGTATGCTTCCAATTCAATTCAATTCAAATTTTTATTTTGCAATTTAAATGATTCTATATGTTGCCAAAAAAAAATAGCCTTACAATAAGACAGATGACACTGCCAAAGACAGAAGCAATGTTGAATCACATATAAATACTTCTCAACCCATTAGAAACCTGCAACTGCTTGCATCATACTGGACAATGTGCTGGATGGATCAGTTTTTTGTGAAACAAATTGTTAGTAATGGTATACTTTTTTTTATCTACACCCTATGTTGTGTATTTCAATATCTAGCATATAACTATTAGGTTTGGATGATGGTTAAGATGCTAACTTCACTCTTCAATATATGAAGTATTATATGATAAATGCTTCTTTTATTAATGTTCTTATTATTTCATTCATGCGTAGATTGCATTGTGTGTCTATATTTTGACCCTTTTTGTTATTATTACACATACAGCCACTTATATTTGTTAACATTATTGCTAGCCATTGTCGTGTTTCATACATAGTTATACAATAATGTATACATTGAAACATGACTTGTGAAGAAATCTTATTTATTTCCTTGGGATTTATTGATAGTTTTGATTTTTGAGTTGAGCTGGTTTTGTTTGGTCCGTAGTATTCATCCAATTTCATATGTCTTTGTTTGTCTTGTATCTGAGAATTGATTTGTATAATTGTTCCTCATGTTTGATCGCACACATATTCTTGACTACCTCTTGTATTTCTAGAAAAATATCGAGAAAAATCATGTCTGATTAATGAAAACTCTGACCAGAAACCTACGTAAAATATTCCTACAAAGTTAAATACTTGCAAATTAATTGTTGAGAAGGAAGATTCATCGTTTGTATAAGAGAAGTAAAAGAGGTTAAGTGAGTTACACCAAACCGGTTCAATTGTTAAATGGTCGAGAAGTAATGTTATCGTCAAATTCCTTCATCATCTCCCACGGTCCATCTCCAACTCCTACCAAAACTATTGACAACGGATACTCAGTGCAATTTAAAAATAGTGTAAGAGTGCAGAACGGACCTCACGTGAAAGAACACAAAAACTTTACATGGGTTTTACGATTGCATTTATTGTCTTGTGTTTCTGTTTACTTAGATGGCCATATTCTGTATCGATGTTTCTGGTCACCTGTGGCAACATATGCTGATATCATTCATTAAAGTATTGCATAATTGTAGGCCCAACCCAGCATTGCTCTTTGTGAAATCAATGCCAACAATGAGATTAGAAATGAAAGCATAACATCATGAAAGCAATGCTAACAGTGAAATCAATGATCTAAATATAGACATGAAAGCAAACATATGTTGCGTGAAGTATAATCCTGGAGCTGGGAATTACATCGCAGTATATTCCTTTTCATTTAGTTAGTACTTGGTAGAGAATATCTTGATAGTTTGTTTAAGGATTAACCTTTAAAATATTAGGCTAGATGGGATTAACCTTTTTGTTCAGTTCATTCCTTTTCATTCAGTCTTTATACATTTAGTTTGTAGATTTTTGTACTTTCCAAATTTGAATGTTTTTTCCTTATATTGCGTAACAGCAGTACATCGGTTAGCAGATCCTGCATTGACATGTTCAATATACATAAGTTGTTGCGACAATGCAACTTTTGATTTCTCAAGAACCTTAATTCCATAGCACAAACCTTAGGAGAAGACTTATTACTATGTTGTTGTGACAACTCAACTTTCGATTTCTCAGACGTAACATCTCCAAACGCACTGTATTTTCCTCCTTTCATAACCGGATTAACATTACACGAAACAGAAGGAGTGGACAGCGCGACAAATCATCTCTCAACATGTGATACCATACTTTCTTCTCAGGAACAAAGAGAAGCAGTTAGTGAGAGACAAGAAAGACGCATATTTTAGCGTCTATGAAATTCAAATTCAAAACAAATTTACATGTGCCATACCAAATTAAGTCATATTATAAACAGGTGCATTGAATTCAAAAGAACACATCAGATTTTTTACAATTTAAATATACATGTGCTATACCAATTTAAATATACCTGCCTTGTCAAATTTGTACCCACTAAATCATCCACATATCAAAAACAGTTCACTATCCATATGATGCTTCAGCTGATGCAACACACACCATGTCACAACAAAATAATGGTTCAGATAAGAACCCCTTATATATTGTCCAATATTGACAGCACTTGATGATGAAATCATAGTGTATAATATGTATGAATTCAAGCACTCAACAATGAATATAAAAAAAACTATACATCGCGAGTTAATGGAAGCAGAAACGTATATGTATATTCAAGATTGCAACTGAGATAACTGAAAAATTTACCTAATATTAACTTGCTTCAAGTTCTAACGAAACTTGCTTTGTAACTTCAGCCATAAACTTTCATGCAATACGAGTAGTTTTAAGCTATTATGAAGTCAAAAAGCACCAATTAACACTCTAAATATAACAACCTGAACACATAATATATGCATAAAGTTAATCAAAAACTTATTATAAACTGTCATTCCAACGATTAAGAGCCAAATAATGTATCACTTTTTTGACAGACAAAATAATAAACCTGATCTGCAATTTATGCCGCATATCCACGTCGGGATTTGTTGTACCAAGATTTTCTTCCCTAATACTAAAAACATGCTCCAGAAATTGAATTGCATCATCGAGCCTGAAATAGAAGATCAAACCCCATGAGGGGAAAGAACTTTGACACCATAACATATACTGGATATTCGTAATCTAAGTTCGATGTCATAAAGAAGTAAAGAATTTTAAATTTCACACAAATGCCTCATAAAGAAGCTTGAAAACCTCAACTTCATACCTAAAAAGTCATACCTTTCACATGTATATCATTGAATGCAACTCGTACAAGTCCAAAATTGAATACTTTTGTTTGCAGTTTGCATTTGCCAGTATATTATTCTGCTTAAGGTCTCTGATATATATTTGCTGCAACAATACATAAAATTATGTAAAAACAATTAAGCGCCGCGAGTGTGAATCTTTGTTCCTCTCTAATTTCCATATCAGAAAAAATATACACAGAAGACCCACAAAATTCATTCCAAAACAAAGAATCATAAGGAGAAGAAAAAAGATTGAAAAGTAAAGCATATAAAAAATAAAATTATAATCGAACCAAAACTTAAATCTGAAATCCTTTTCGTTCTTGTAAGGAAATTTTGTGGGAGGTTGGTTCAAGTTAAGTGAGAAGTAGGGTGGGATGGAGTCTAGGTTGGACGGTGCCATTTTCAGCTCTAGTAGTCATGGTATGAGCGTTATTAGGATGGATGTTAACAAGATAAGAAGATGGTGTAGGTGAAATATGATTAGAGCTATGAGTGTTTGAGAGGAGAGGTCTTAAGATTGGTTTTTGTGAGGTTTTAGAATATGATATTTGAACATTGGGAGTAGATGTTGAAGTTTAGGTGAGCTTAGGGCTTTTGGTGGAGTTGTGAATGTGTAAAAGAGAGGAAAGAGTGAGTTATGAGTGTTGACTTGGTTAGGATTGTGCAGAATAGGAAGGTTTAACGAAAAATATGGAAAAGGGAGAGGTTGTGGTAGTGTAGTTAGATGTGGAAGATACTTTAGGAAACATGATATAGTAAGGAAAATGTAGTTCATTGAATATAACATATTTTGATATGAAAATTCTGCCATCATTAGCTAAACACTTAATGTGTTTTGTAGAGTTAATGTTGTTTGTAGTTTGTGTGAGGACTTAAAATATGTTGTTCCAATAGAAGTTATAGGAAAACTTTGTTTGTTTCCTATCATTACTTGATCTGGACCAGAGACAAATATGTTGTTTAGACATATTTTAGGATTAGAAGTCACATGATAAATACCCCTGAATTAGGGTAACATTGTGAGTTAGATGACTAACACAATTGATGTTCAGTTCAAGTGAGATAAGCAAGAGGTTGGTGTGATGAATAAGGAGTAGGCAACAGTGGAGAACAAGGTAAAAAAAACCTAACAGAGTAGTTTCTTGAAATTGATTTGTAGATGCAGAGTTCATCCACTAATTATATGAATATGGTGACTCTAAAACATTCAACCACTAATTATAATAATTGGATTTGATTAGGATAAGACATTGGATTGAGCCATTGATTTTGCAGCAGAGGTTATCTTGAGTGACAATGGTAGAAAATGCTTCTGTCATGACCAATTTTGAAGAAGATCTAACAAAGCGTGTGAAAATGACCTATGTAACAATCGCCAGGGTCTCCAAAAATTTTATTCCTTCCACCCTAGCCACGCTGATAGTTGATGAACTTTTGGCGTGTATTTTGACCAAATTGTTGTTGTGAATCTTGATATTGGACTGATTCTTGAGAGATCTATGAGGAATGTGAACCTTGAGCGAGATTAATAGCTAGAGGTTCATTGAGTGTAGTCTTCTTGAAGAGTTTAAGTCTAGCTTCATGAGATAAAAACATTGTTTCTACAATTACCATAAGATATGTTTCCTCGTGGTATTGAATGATCGAGGTTAAATCTTAATACTCATCAGGCAGACATCTAGTGCAACTTCAAGTTGATCACGATGGGACACTGATCTCCAATCAATTCAAGAATATCAATGATCTACTTAATTCTACCTCGATATTGCATAATTATCTTGTTGCCTTTGGTGATAAACTTCAATTCCCAATACAATTGACAAGACTTAGCATTGATCTAAGGATATCCAGGCTTCGGGTTCTTGTACATATCTCATTACACAAGATAGAACTAAATCAGGGAGTGTAGTGAGAAGTTAGATAAACAACAAAGAAATTTCTCTCTGTCATATGGCGTATGCATTACATTCTATATCGAATGCACGATTTTCAATTGTGAGACATCGTGGTGGAATTGTTGGATTACCAAGATGATGATGCAATTTGTGAATTTTGATGATTCCTTCAACTTGCTGCTTCCATGAGAGAAAGTTAGAATCATCGAATTTGATGTTGATATGTTGAGAAAAAGTTTTACAGATGTTTTTAGTTGAAGAACTATCTTGATTCGAATAATTTTGTCGACTTTCAAAGTAAGAAGTCGTGGTTTATGGATCATATGTTCATGATACCATATTAGAAAGTGAGGAAGATGAAGAATTCATCATTCAGAATCTTTAGAGAAGAGAGGTGCAGAGAAATTATGGTACGAAATGACAAAGAAAGTGATGAATGAGTAATAAATTAATAGATGACAGCTATTTATAAAGGCTTGTAACTAATGTGAGTTAGTTACAGTCATATTGACCCTGGAGTAATTTGTTACAATAGAGTAAAAGCTAGCTAAACTATGTGAGTCAACATTAGTTTGCTACAACAAAACATCTAGCTTAATATATTATAATAACTAAATCGGTTGCTTAGTTATTTAGTGCAAAGACTATCGTAATTGAGCGGGTTATTCTAAATATTCATTTCAAGATCTAACTCACTCCTCACTTGTACGAGAAAATCTAATATTACAACATCATTAGTGTCGTTTGTAGGAACATACATCAACGTTTCGCCACACCAATCAACATTTCACCACACCAATCAACAAGTTCATGTTACAGCCACTACAACTTTACTATATTCATCACACATGACTTTTCACATGTTTCAAGTTCTATTAACGGTAAGATTCACATAATTATTGGCTTTAATCACATTTCTATGAGGTTTATTCCATTGTTTTACCATTATCTTGTTCATGCAAGATCTTGGGTTTTTGTTCCTGTGTGTTTTGCTTCCATTATTGTGGATTTGACTTGCAATTTCTCATGCATCTTGAATGAAGACAATTAAATGTATATTTTTATCTTCATGAACCTTTTTTTGTTTCTAGCGTAAAATTGATTATACGACAGTTTATCAACTTTTTCACCATGCCACGTATTCATTTTTTAAAATTTACATTGAGGTAAGTTGTGAAGATTAGGTTTAAAAACAGCTTATGCTAAGAATATTAGTTAATTAACTCTTCGAAAGGATGTCCAAAAGAGCTACACTATAAAAATTTTCTATTCAATTGAGTTTGTCATTTTTATTCAAAATGTATCCCTATTTATATTGATTTTTTAGTTTGATGTGAAACAAGAGCCAGGAAAGTGCCTATGCTTGTGAGGGACCAAATCCAATTCATCTAGATTCGACTCATTATCTTTGTACATACACGCCAATTCCAAAAACTAACAATGGTCTAGTATTTCGACATACTCGAGACAATTAAGACAAAAGATCGATAAATTTAGCTCCTTTATTGATAAGATTGCTTCTGATAAATAGAGTTGTTCAATAAACCCAAATTTCATTTCTATGATTTAAGATTCTTAAGTTTTTGTTTTCAAATTTTACCCTTGCCTTTGATGTACTAGCTAGGGAGCGAAAATTGAATTATTGTCCATTAATCAATGATAATAATTCACTTAATATCAAAAGTAACCCGTAATTGGATACTCATGAGTTAAAAAAAAGAAGACCGGGAAAAAGAAATTCCAAGTTCACGTGACAATCACGCGCACCCTTGCGGTGCAAACCCGACCCGAGAACCTGCCAAATCATACACAACCTGAAACCCTTGTTGCTGAATATTCCCTATAATAGACAACCCATTCACCGTTTCAGCAAAAGCAAAACAAAAAGTTTTATTATTACTATCCACCGGAATCAGTAAATTCCCCGGCGGAAACGCCACATCAGCACCCCGAAAATGAAACACCACCGTCGGAACTTTCAACTCATTATAACCCGACAAACTATAACACGTATCAAAAAGCTCAAATTCGGGTGCCCGTTTCAAATACCCAGTTCCAACCCGAAACGCGTTTCTAAATGCCACGTAAGCAGGTGTAATGAGCCGCGTCACTGAAGTTCCAGAATCAATAATTACACCGCCGTTTCCGGTTTTATCGAGCCGGAACATTGAAGCCGTGATACCACGAACAGGCGCGCCGCCAACGCTGATCCCGAGAAGTTCAATGTAGTAGAAAGAGTGTAGTTTCGGGTTTTGAATTAAAGGAGTGAATAAAGCGGTTCGCGGAACGGAATTCTCGCCGAAAATTACGGAAGACAGTTTACTCGAAGCGAACCGGTCTACGAAGCAGTAAGAGAATTTTTTGTTGAACCTGTTAACGGTTTGGGTTGGAAAAGAAAAACCGCCACGGCCTAGACCGAATAAACCAGCTGAGCCGTTAAAGAGTCCTTCGTTGTCGTGACCACAACCGATGGCGACGCCGGGGACACCGGTTCTCTGAAACGTCAGTGTTTCAGTTGAGAAGTCTCCGACGGTAAATGATCCGTCGCCGTATGAGACTTCATACTGGCAAATCTTCTTCCTGTTACATCCCGGCGAGTCTAATTGGCGGCAGAGAGGAGACGAACATGGGACTCGGGTGTAAGAGGTTGATTTCTTCGGGTCAAAAACCGGGTCGGATTGTGTGTAGCAATTCTGGCAAGGTGCACATTGAAGCCAAAGGACGTCGCTTCCGGTGTCGAGGATCATGTAAACATATCTGGGTGGTGTTCCAACGCCTATGCGGGTGAAGTACTCTCCGCTTCCTAGGGAGAAACCCGACGTTACGGGGCTGGTTGTACTCGAACCGGATCTGGATAGTTCGGGTTTGGTTTGGTTGAGAGATGAGGATAATAATGAGGTGAATGTTTTGACTCTGGAAGTGTCTCTTTGGAGTCTAAGGTTGAACAGTTGTTGTGGGGTTTTGTTGAAGGAGAGAGCGTCTATGTGGTGGAGAGAGAGGGTGGTGGAAGTATCCGGTTTGTGTTCTGTGAATTCGGATTCGGGCCATGAGAGTGTTGGTGGTGGGTGGGGGAGAGAATGGAGGAGTAGTGAATGGGTTTGGAACTCAAAAGGGTATGAGGAAATGAAGGGGATTGGTAGGAATGCAAAGAATAAGGAAAAGAGAAAAGCACTTTGTGTCATCTCTTCCATTTGAGAGTGATTGATTGAGGAGTGAAAGAAGAGGAGGACATGAAATAGATTTTATAAGACTAAAGTATGAGAATTTTGAAAAGTGTGCATGTTTGATTGGTTTCCAATTTTTCAAACAAATTGTGGGTTATTGACTTATGGGTACTTGTTATATATACCATGAAAACAAAATTATGTTGTTTTATTTATAATAAAAAAATTTGTTTATATAGATACAAGATTTATTTTATTTATTTTACATATTAAATATTATTGACATAAATGTTAATTCTTTCTGTATTTTATAATTAATAAATTGTCGTGTATAAATTATTTTTATTGAAGTTTAATTCTTAAATCAAATAAGGTGAATAGTTCTTTACACTTGAATCTTGATTATTTGATTGAAATAATATATTTATGTGATGGTTTATCTTAGATATTATGTATGTATTTGAAATATATTATTTTGTATACTCGATATTCATATATATTTTAATTTTTACTATATAGTATATAAATTTTTTAATTTTAAAAATAAATATTAAATATAATTTGAGCGGCCCGAATAACCGAAACCTGTGAAGAGTTGGGCTTAGACAACTTAATTTTAGTCCTTTTAAATTCTAGACTATTAAGTCCAATCCGCTAAAGGCCTAAACTCATCATAGATCAACCCGAAGTGGGTCGGGTAACCCGAATTGCCAGCTCTAACTATAAATAAGAAAACTATAAAAAAAATGATGTTAAGAAAACTATAAATATAAGATCTTGTAGAAATGATTATAGTTTTAAAATAATTTTGTTTTTGACAAACAATTTTGTTTAAAAATAATTATAGTTTTGATTCCTTTACAAATTTTGACATTTAAAATAAATTATATGTTTATTTTCTTAACAACATATATTTATTATTTTAATCGATCGTAGACCAAGTGACAAATAGTTTTAATTATCTGTTCAAAGACGTATTCATAGAGAGGTCGAGAATTCAATGCACCTACAATTTTTAGATACATATGTGATCTGGTTCTTTCTAGGAATCTAGATAATCCAAAGTTCAGAAGGAACCTATATTTTTCAAAGCAAGTACATCGATAAACTTCTGAAAAAGTTTAACTTATCAAAATGTAAAACGGCTAAGACTCTTATGCATCTAACATGCATTCTTGAGATGGATGAATTAGGTAAAAAAATCGAACATAAATTATATAGATGTATGACTGACTATCTTCTGTATCTGACTACTTCTAGACATGCTATTTTATTCAGCATATGTTTATGTGCTAGATTCAATTCAGATTCTAAAAAATCTCTTAATATATAGAAAATCAAGAGAATACAAGTTAGTAGGTTATTGTGGTGTTGATTATGCTAGATAGACTTGAAAGAAAAAGCACCCGTGGAAGTTGTCAGTTTCTTAGTGAAAATCTGATAAAAAAGATATTGATTCCACGAAGATTGTTGTTTACAATTTTCATTATTCATCCAAAATGATAGAGTAATTCATGATTCAAAAGGATAATAAATTTTGATAACATGTAATAAGTTTGTATAACAATAAAAATAATAGTGAGTTCAAACAAGAGCTAGCAAGAATGTTGGACACTGATCCATTCACTAATTTATCTAGTGTTTGTGATATCATGTTGTATTACACAATATGTGGTTAGGACTAAACCTTTCAGTGTTTGTCAAAAACATAAAAATATACAATAGTTTGTTAGATTGTATATGTATAAGATCTCATTAACATCATAACATTTCAAGTAAAATTTGTCTTGTTAACCATTACAGACCTAATCATTTACGTCTAAAGTGATTAAGTAAGCATGATATGCATATTGGCTATTTATCCGTATTAATTCTTTAAAATCATTTTCAAACCATTATCAACTTAATAAACTTGTATTTAAATCTAAGATCCCATAAAATCACATTCAATCACATTCAAAAGACTACATGTTCAATAATCTTCACATTATCCAACAAAACATAATTAGCTCATGGTGAGCTTAACAACAAATAAGAAATGAGAATGATAAACTTAAGAAGCCACTACAATCTCGTACAATATTCCAATTGCAGGTGACCATTGGTATAATGACTCTTAGTGCTGACTTAAGTAGATAAATGGAAGTTGGTTGAGAGATGGTAGGCACGACCGGTGGTTTGTCGTATTCTTTGTTAGCTCTCTTATGATGTAGGATTTTAATTTATTTTATAGCTCATTTATAGATTATAGGGCCATCAACTTTTATCCCAAAATTCTTGGCACAAATAATAAGTAATATTTCATTTATGTGTGCAAGGATACTACATTTTAACATGTTGCAAAAGCACATTGTCTTTTTTCTTGCAGATTTTCATCCTCATCCTTTATTATTCTACTTAACACAATATCTTTGTTCTGAAATTATTCACCTTTTAGTTTCTACTCTAATGTCACGACTCCATTCAATTTCTTCTAAAAGCTAAGTATGCTGCCAATATACAGTCATGTACTATCGTGACACCAAGCATCACCAGAACTAGCTATGCATACAAAAACACATGTAAAATCACTACAACAAAAACACTTTTATGACGA